TACACATACCCCCAACAACACACAACCAGTACACATTCCCCCAACACTACACACAACCAGTACACATACCCCCAACACTACACACAACCTGTACACATACCCCCAACAACACACAACCAGTACACATACCCCCAACAACACACAACCAGTACACATACCCCCAACAACACACACAACCAGTACACATACCCCCAACACTACACAACCAGTACACATACCCCCAACACTACACACAACCAGTACACATACCCCCAACAACACACACAACCAGTACACATACCCCCAACACTACACAACCAGTACACATACCCCCAACACTACACACAACCTGTACACATACCCCCAACAACACACAACCAGTACACATACCCCCAACAACACACAACCAGTACACATACCCCCAACACTACACAACCAGTACACATACCCCCAACACTACACAACCAGTACACATACCCCCAACACTACACACAACCAGTACACATACCCCCAACACTACACACAACCAGTACACATACCCCCAATAACACACAACCTGTACACATACCCCCAACAACACACAACCTGTACACATACCCCCAACAACACACAACCAGTACACATACCCCCAACACTACACACAACCAGTACACATACCCCCAACAACACACAACCAGTACACATACCCCCAACAACACACAACCAGTACACATACCCCCAACAACACACAACCAGTACACATACCCCCAACAACACACAACCAGTACACATACCCCCAATAACACACAACCAGTACACATACCCCCAACAACACACAACCAGTACACATACCCCCAATAACACACAACCTGTATACATACCCCCATCAACACACAACCAGTACACATACCCCCAACACTACACACAACCAGTACACATACCCCCAACAACACACACAACCTGTACACATACCCCCAACACTACACAACCAGTACACATACCCCCCAACACTACACAACCAGTACACATACCCCCACAAACACACACAACCTGTACACATACCCCCAACAACACACAACCTGTACACATACCCCCAACACTACACACAACCTGTACACATACCCCCAACACTACACACAACCAGTACACATACCCCCAACACTACACACAACCAGTACACATACCCCCAACACTACACACAACCAGTACACATACCCCCAACAACACACAACCAGTACACATACCCCCAACAACACACACAACCAGTACACATTCCCCCAACACTACACACAACCAGTACACACCCCCAACAACACACACAACCAGTACACATACCCCCAACACTACACACAACCAGTACACATACCCCCAACAACACACACAACCAGTACACATACCCCCAACACTACACACAACCAGTACACATACCCCCAACACTACACACAACCTGTACACATACCCCCAACACTACACACAACCTGTAACTCGATAGCGGGAGGACTTAAAATACTGCCGCTGGCTGTCGTGATGTGTGTACACACCCCCCATGTGTGTGTCTGTGTGTACACGTGTGCCGGTGTTGTTGGGGTGTTTTGCGAGTCCGCATCGAGCATCTGCTGTGTTGTGTCCTCGCACTCACACCCATGCACACGCACACATACGCACGCTCGTAGAACAGACTCTGGGATACGTGAAACGCTTAAACTTCCAAGAAACTATATTTACAGTAAAGAACACTGCACGTGCATAGAATCCGTGAGGATTCAACTCATCGGGTCAAATTCAGATGTAGTTCGCATTATGCCCCGTGATAGAACCGCGCTGTACCTGACATCTAAATGGTTACACGCGCCGGAGTATACACACGGCACGTATACGCGAGCGTGCGAGCGTGCGTGTATATTTATTCTTGCAAGGAAAAGTCCAAATTGGTTCCACGCCGCCCCCTGACTGCGCTCTCCACCCCTCTCCGCCGGCGCGGTGCCTGGGAAGCCGGCGCGTCCGTGGCTCGCGAGGCGACCAGGAGACAAAGGCGGCGCGAGCCCCTGGCCGCTCAACCCAGTGACCAAGGTCAGCGGCGAGAGAAAGGGGCCCCGAGGCAGCTGTGCGCGCCGTGGAAATTAGGCATGCAATCAAATTCAAAGCGGCCGCCATTGCCACTACAGACCAGGCCAAGAGCATTAGCGATTTTCAAAGGGACAGACCTAAATCAAATTAAATCTGTCAAAGCGGCAGGCTTTAAAGTGACAGAGGCTTATAACGGTTTATTTGGATAAGCGAGTCTTTTATAAAAAAAAAATGAGAGAAAAGAGAGAGATGGAGTGAGAGAGAAATAAAATTATTTTAAAAATACGATTTTTTTTAATACAGATAAATGTTCAATAATAGAGAAATCAATTCATCTTCACGTGTCACAGGAATAATGTATCACATGTACTGTAGCTTAACGCGTCCGCCCGGAGCTTGCGGGTTAAGGTCGCAGCCAAGGCTAATGCGAACGACCTTGTTTCTTCATATCCCTCTCTGGCGGCTTTACATCGCCCAACAACGGCCTCGCGTGCGGCAACAACAACGGCGTGTCCACGCAGGAGGCGCGGTGTGTAACGGGTGACCAACCATTGAGACGAAGGTCACAGGGGCCGTTTAAACACCTCGTGCGAGTAACCCGCGCGCTGGGCCCGGGCGTGCGCGGGCGGCGAGCACGCGCGCGTACCGCGCTGGAAACGCGCGCCCTATAAAACAGGGTTCGTTAGTCATCTTGTGACGGACGAAACGTCTCTCCTCACCCTCGAATCGAGCACAACAACCGCGGGCGTACGGGGCACGGACACGCGGGCGCACACGGCGACGACGGCGACGACGACGACCTCGCCGAGCGGGCCCCTGACGAGGCAAGGCTCGGAGGCCGCGCACGGGGAAGCAGTGCCGAGCGAAACGGAGGTCGGGCGCCATCGACTCCACGGACCCTCGCGGGGCGGCGATGGCGAGGCACGCGCGGCCGCGGACGGGCGTGCCACGTGACGCTCGCTCCTAGGCGGTGTCGGCGGCGGCCACGCGACAGCTGCCTAGCACGGCGCTCGCGCCACCCCCCACGGGCTGCGCTCCTCATATGCGCGTCGCTATCGATCGGTATAATCCCGCTCCACATCGATTTCCAAGCAACGTCGGGCTGATCCCAACACCGTGGGCAAAGCCAGGCCATAACGTGTTTGGCGTTCATGGACCAGCCTGCAGACAAATGTCATTATCTGTTCTTGGGTGCATTGTAAAATATCAAAAGATTGTCGTGCCTTTTCAAAATTTACAAAATTATACGTAGAATAATATTTTATGGCGTGCGCACAGATTGTTTACTGAGGAGGCCCTGGTTGTGCTTTGGTCGAATGCCACACGCAGGAATCTTTGTCACATCACCACGCAGCAGTATAACCTGGAGCAGCACACTCAGCTATGGCCTGACAGAGGTGTGTGGCCGATGTCATCTCACAGTGGAGGGAACTATGCCATCTCACGATGGCACAGTCTGGCAAAGACCATTGGGATGGAGGCCCCTCCTACCCACAATGCTTCACCACGAAAAAGTCAGAGTGGTTTCCCACTCAATCGCTGGCACTCCTACCATATTTATGGCACTGAGCTGCTGGTAGAAACTCCACATTCCTATGCTAGGGGTGAGTTTTTCCAAAAGGGAACCACTTTTAATGTTGCCTCTAAGTGGCGCCCATTGTATCGACCTGGAATAGATGAGTTGCTGAGTCGATCCCCGACTAGGATTTGAACTCAACCTTCCGATTGCAAGCAACACACTCCACCGATGCGACTCCAGGTCCGTTAACTCACAACCTTCCGGGGGTCCTATCGTGGCGACAAAGTCAGCGCTCCCTTACATGGCCCACCTGGGCGGCCCGGCACACCGCCCCGGCCCTTCCGCTAACATCAAGACAAACGGGCCTGGTTGGCAAAACACGTTCCCTTTCATTTGCCTCGATCAGCAGTGAAGATGACGCGATGCCGCGGCGATACGAGCGGGAAGAGAAGCGCAGCCACCAACACTGGCGTTGAGAATGAGCGGCAAGTAAAGAAACCCAAACGGTGTGAAGCAATCCATCTCTCCGGCAACAACACCACAAAGGCTCCATTTGCAAAACTGGCACAATCGCACGAAAGCAGCAATTCCGACCGTTATAGCATTTTGTAAATCGCTTGAAAAAAAATATGCATCTTTTTCAAAGGATTTTTCGTGACATGGCCATGACGAGCGACACGAACGACCACAGACTGAGAACCGAGTCGCCTCGTGCCCTGCGCCCCGACGGTCGTCAGTGGCTTCGGATCGCGAGGCGGGAACGCCGCGTCCCTCCGTGGCACGCAAGCTCCTGCTCTACCCGCCAAGGCCGATTTGGCAAGGTCATGGACAGATAAAATAACCAAACAAATATTCCTTCATTTACCCAGAATTCCTCAGCAGAGTCTCAAGAAATTCCCGAGGGCACCCACCGTCGGAGATTTTTTACCACATTTCTGATCGAGGGTGCTGTGCCCGGGGGATCGCAGGGGATGAGATTAAAGTGTTATGGGAAACCTACTTGCTGTACTGCCTTCTGCAGGCCACCTCAGAGTCCCTTCAGGTGAGCGTCAAACGCGAGCAGATTATTTATTTAAAAGTAAATATCGCTAATCCGCAAGGGTGGCCCTGCCGTCACAGCGTGTGTCTCACATGCAAAAGAATGTAAATTCAAACCGTGGGTAGACGTCGACTCATCCCGTCTTCCCTTCAGGGCCAATAAAATTAATGCCACCACTTTTGCAGAAAGTTAACAAAATGGTCTTTCTTTGAAGATACTGGACCCTACCACGGGAACGAGGAATTTCCAGCCACTGAAACAGGACCGCCAACTAAATTCACGCCACCTCTAATCCGCTCCGAAACGTCGCGAGTGAGCGCCGATCTCGCGTGGGGGGCAGAGGGGGCAGAGGGCGTGGGGGACAGAGGTGGCAGAGGGTCTAGTAGCTGGGGGGGGGCGGGGCCGCGCCGCGCTCACCTTGCGCCGGGCCTTCCCGTTTGGCGGGGCCTCCTTTGGCGTGCCCCGCAGCCAGGTCGTCGTCCTCGGGCGACACCTGCACGCCGATATCCACGGGCGCCCGCACCAGCGCATGCGCCGGCGGGGAGGCCCGCGGAGCACCCGCGACGACGCCGCCGCCGCCGGCACCGCCGCCGGGCCCCTTGTCGGCGCAGAGCGAGGCCTCGCAGCCCTTGCGCTTGTGCTGGATGAAGAGGAGGATGTCGGCCAGCGGGAAAGTGAGCTGGCACTGCCCGCACGTGAGCAGGTCCTGCTCGGACGCGCCGCCCGCACCGCCCGGCGCCTGGGCCTCGGCCGCCGCCGCCGCGCGGTCGTCTTCCTCGTCGTCATCCTCCTCCTCCTCCTCGTCGCCCATGAGCGCCTCCACGCGCTCGGGCTCGGCTGCGCAAGCACACGGGAGAGAAACGCGAGCGCGCGGGGGGGGGGGTGGACGTCACTGACGCGCGAGCGTGGGGACGTCATCGACGCCAGCGACACGCTGGCGTCGTCACGTTTAGGCCAACAGGGCAAATACAACCAGACAAACGATGCGGTCAAAAATTTGTAACAGCACAAAAGAGACGGTGAAGACGAGCGGCCGGGGTGATGGGACGTTAGACTCCTAAATGTATCTTTAGCCCCTCCCTGTCGCACCATCCGCAGAAACCCAGGGTCTGCCGCCTGGGCTTCTTTCCTCAGATCGTGCCGGACTAATACGGCACAAGCAACAATTATAATAAAATCAAATAGATTAGCAGAGTTATGCTAGACAAGTAAAGAGCGGTGTTAGACCCAGACACGGGTGGCTTCGCTCCGTCTGAATTGACCTGCAGGGTGTGAATTGGCTTTGAACGAACCCCTGCTCCGGCTCTGGATGGAAGAGCGTGGGGGGTGTAATCAGTGCTCAGTAAATGATCAAGTCGCACGCCCCAGAAATGTGTGACTCTGCATGTGACGACACTACTGGTAATTACTCTGCTGCAAAGTCAGGCTTTGGCCTATGAATGAATGATTGGATGTTCAGCCTCCATAACAACGCTATGAATGTGGTGACCAAACCGATACAAATGTAACCACAACACAACAGACCAGCAGAGTGAAGTATGGTTAACGAACCCCCATGACCAACACGGCGTTTGCAGGCCTTCGTCCAGGAGTCAATTGACGAAGAGCTGCAGATAATTATTATCGTGATTATTATTTCAAAAGATAATCAACATCGATCTGTCACCGATGATTCTCCATCAGCTATGCCTGACGTGGAGGCGTTGTTGTTATAGGAGAAACCCCCGGTCCGTTCTCCTGATGGCGACCAGCGCAGGTATCGGCATCATCGACAGCGCCACATTCGCGTCCTAAACAGCGACAAATATTCCGTGCATGGCCGCTGGGCCATGGCACCCGCAGGCGCGCCTCCGCCATCGGAGACGTCCACTTCGTGCCAGACCGTGCCCCGCTGTGCCGCCGGCCAGGGGCAACATTCGAACCGACAAACCAGCGCACTCCCACCGAGGGGCGGACGCTCCAACCACCAATGCTATGGGCGGCCTTGCTCTTTGTGCGGCTCAGCACTCGCACGCACACGCGTCCGTGCGTGCGTAAGAGAAACGTACGGCCCGAGCTACTGTCCCTGGCGTACTGACCCGTGGGAACGATACAATGGTGAGTTTGTTTTTAGAAACGTGTGCCCCAGTGCGGCCCTGCGATGTTTCAATCCTGCCGGTCTCACCTACGTCGCCATCAATGACACGGCATCCGTTGACACTTATTCTTCCCCCGGCTTGAAACCACGCGCGCATAAATGACAATTATATTTGTGCTCCATCTCAAGTGAAAGGGAAGAGCTTAAAGATTGAGGACTGGGGGTTAAAAGAAAAATAAAGAATGAACGTGCGATAACGCGTCAGCACGGGCGGCGATAGCGCTCGACCGTGAACCCACGGAGCCCGGACTTCCCTCCCAGCCTCCCCAGTGTCTCCCCAGCGCCGCTCCGGCCCTTGTGAGACGCTCAGCCACAAATAGCTCGACACTGGCGCGCGTTGTGCTCGCGCCCCTTCCACACGCATCGCCACGAAGTCCCTTGCAGCGATCGCGGTCCCGCGGCGCAAGTGAATGCAAGCGCCGTTCCGAGGAGCTGTTCTGTTTTTGTGTTTACGTGTTTTTGTGGGTGGGTTTTTTTTCTGGTCGCGGGCGTAAGGTCAAAGCTCGGCTAATATATATATTTTTCCCCCCGCCGGGGTTCCGTAAAAGAAAATAAATTAGGAAACGTTCAGCATCAGGATTACAGTTTCCGTGAGGGAAAACATCATAGCGGCAGAATAATATGAAAGAGAGAAAACACAGAGATGACAAATGCAGCCGTGGTGGTGCAAGCCCAACGACATTTCGCCAATCTCAGGGTAAACGACAGATCATGTGAATTAAGATAAACAGACACAAATCACAAGGATGTAGACAAGGCAATGTCGCGCCAGTGTCTCTGCTCAAATAAAATACCTACAGCTAAATTCCCGAATTTAAACTGCCAATTTTAAAACGAGTTCATATCTAACTGCAATTATCTGAATATCTTTAGAAGAAAAATATAATGAACCTCAATGGGCTCTCGCACAGTTAATTACAGGGAAGTGACTGGGTGCTATTACACGGTGCGTACATTACCGCGGCGGTGGACCTCCTGCAAAGAGGCCACAGCTTCACGCGTGCCCCCACGCTGCTCCTTCTGGGCCGCCACGCGAGCAAGGCCCCGGCGGCCAAAGTGGCAGACGTCACGCGCGTGACGCTGGCGAGCGCGGGCGCCGCACGCGAAGAAGACCGACGAGACGACCGACGACGGTTTAGCGACGGAGCGACGGGTAACGAGGCGGGCGGCTCTCCGCAGCACCACAGGTAGCGGCAGAGAGACAGCGACAAAGTTCCAGGTAGGACGACGGCGCAGCGGCAGGGCACCACACCGCGGCGGTGCGGCGCTCCCGACGAAACTCGTCCGAATCCCAGGATTTTTTTTATTCATTTGCTTGGAACGTTTTTTTTATTCATTTGCTTGGAATTCATTAAACAGCGGCGATTAAATTAATCGTGCCATATGGCTGTGAAAGAATGTGTTTGGAAGCCCTCGTAGATCGTATGAAGATAGGAAGCGTGTGCGTGCGACATCGAGAGATGTGTGCATGTTCATCTACGCATTTATTGTCAGCTGATCTGATTTTACAAGTTTATTTTTTAAAAATTGGGAATTTCTTGCTTGTCCCTTAATTCTGATTTCGACATTATTATTTTTATTTTAGGCATGTTAATTAAATTCACGTCCAAAAACGTTTCTGCGAGTAAGTATGCATCTATAAACTCAAGTCGATAGAATTTTGTGAATGACACAAATTGGTTTGCGCACACACGTACACACATTTGTACACAAAGACAAAGATCTCCCTACAGCCTTTACAGACTGTAGGGGCAAGTGCTGTTCGCGAGCACCTATGAAGCCTGACACGGCACATGAGAGGGTGGATGGCCAGCACCACACCTGACTGCCTTTGTCTCCCCAGTGGCGATGTTTACACACCGCACAAATAACTTATTTGAGGCTGAGTGGACTTAGGGGAGGCCCAGAACCGGTTCAGATAATCTTCACTGGTGTTGGCCATGAGCGGGAATCGAACCCCGGTCGGCAGGTTCGTGGCGCAGCACGCTAACCGCTGCACCACCGCTCCCCACACAGACACACACATAGGCAGATATGCATGCACAAGCCCAACACACGACTACCATCACTGACATGAAGTGCTGCAAGATTTCAAACACAAACGACAATCCGTTGACCTTGGAGCGATCTTCCCGAACCAGAGCAACCAAGGCAATGCGTGTGTGCATGATTCTGAAAAACTAAACTTCCTAACGGATGTGCTGCTCGCAAAGAGTCAAGAGCAGAGTTCCCACACCTCCAGAATAATTTTTGCAATAGGAGGCCTGAAATAATCCGTACAATTCTTTTGCCACCACGGAGCGTATTACGTAGCCGGTTTTGCGATTCCATAATCACGCGCAGCCCTCTGACGGAGCACGCGCCGGGCGGCACGGGGCGCCGGAGACCCCCCGGACGCTCGGAGTCGAGGGACCCCCGAAATGGGGCCCTTTCATCACCGCGACGACGCTTTCTCGCGAGCCGCCATGACCGTCCGCCGCCTCGCGAGAGAGACAAAATCATCAATGCGCGACGGCGAGATGCCTTACATGATGAAACTCGTTTGCGGGATTTATTGAAAGGATAACTTTGGTTTTTAAGAACGCCGTCGGCAACAGCGGTGCCGCGAAAGGGGGGGGGGGGGTGCGGGGGGGGGGGCGTCTGGCTTGAGTTTGGGAGAGAGCCGACACCTGGAGCTGTGGAGAATTTCACGGTGCGCGAGCCAAATTTCCTGCGTCTGGGACCATGGCGCGATCACGGATGGTACAGACGGGGCGGCGATCCTGGCTTTCGTCACGAGCTCGCAAGCCGGGGCCGAACGGCGAGCCGCGCTGCGTGTCTCGCAAGCTGGTGGCGTGCCCAACACCGTCAAAACGCCGCTAACGAGACCGGGACGGCACTGAAACCTTTAAGGAGACCGACTTTGAGCGGGAACGCAACTCTATGAAATGGCGCAATCCGAACAAACGGCGCTAATAATCGGACGCTGAAAAATAACGAAGGACACGGTGCAGTGATTTGACGCTTGGGCAACACGGCACACAACACGCAGTACATCAGCACAGCACACCCACACATAGCACGGCACACATAGCACACACCCCATGCCAAACACAGCACACGGCACGCAACATACAGCCCAACATAAACAGTGCACACCACATTAAGCATAGCACACGAGACGCACCATCCACACGGCACACCACACACAGTACACCGTTAATACTGCCCCCACATTCGGCACAGCGCACCATCGGCACAGCACACTTAACAAAGTACAAAGTCAACGCAGCACACCACTCACAGCACACCACACGTAGCATACCACATACAGCACAGCACACAACACATATTACGCCACACACAGCATACAATCAGCACATCATAGCATACAACACACACACACCACTCATAGCACACCAGAGTATGCCACACACAAAACAGCCCACCACACATAACACAGCAAACACAGCCCACCATAAACACAACACACTATACACAGCATACCACACACAGCATACTATTAACACAGCACACCAGACACACCATCAACACAGCACACCACACAGAGCATACCATATAGACAGCACGCCGCACAGCACACGACACACAGCAAGCCAGACACAGGACCCCGTCAACACAACATAACGCACACTGCATACCATCAACACAGCATACCACACATAGCAAGCCAGACACAGGATCCCATAGACACACCACA